CTCTGGCTTCCCTGGAGCCGTTTGGACTCCCGTAGTGTGGCTCCTGGTCGCTGTGGCTGGGGGTGCGCGCTTGGCCAGTGGAGGTGTATGGGTGTGGTTGGGGGCGTGGCTTCGCTGCAGGGCCTGTGAGCTTGCCGCTGCTGGCCCCAGGGGATTACTGCGTGGGGTCACTGGTGGGGGGTGCTCTCCTGGAGCTCTCCTATGGTCCGCTCTGGGTGGGCGGGTGTGCGGTTCTTCCTGCGCTGGTGCCCCTGGGGGGTCCGTGCTTGGGGTCCCTCTCGGGGTCTTTGGCACCAGTCTCACTTTGGCATGGCCCTTGCCTTCCTACGCAGCTCAGCTCAATTCTAGCTTCCCTTCACTGCTCCGTCTGGGACTTCTCCCACTGAGATGGATTTCACTGGCAGATTTTTAGCCGAACCAATCAGAGAACAGAACGTCAATTTTCTGCGCAGTGTCTGCTTGTAGTTTATTTTACCTGGGCCAATCAGCAAACAGAATGAGGAGTTTTGAACGTTGATGTTCTGCGCAGTGTCTGCTAGTTATTTTATCATACGGCAGTGGAGGAAGTGAATGAAGCCAGTCTGTGTTGATAAGACTTCCAAATTAAATTAAATTTGTCTGACAAAGCAGCAGCTCTCATTTACAGTCGTCTCATTTGGCTCGGTACTTCTCTCCTGTCAGTAGGGTTGTTTACAGCGCTCACTATTTCCGGTTAGCTTCTTAGCTTAGCCTCCTTCACAGCAACACACACAATTCAGCAGAGGCCACGCCTCCTGCAAGAATCGCTTCTCTATGGCCGCGAGTCCTGACCCTCGTACGAAGCAAAGTGAAGGACAGGGTCTGGTTTTTACCAGGCTAGTCTCACTTAAGTCTGCTTCGGGGCTTAAGATTATTATTTTGATATATATGTTATTTGTTGCTGTGTTTTTGTTTTCTCCATTTTACAGGTGTGCAGACAGATGTCAGGTGTGTTGTCTTGTGTTTCCTTGGTTTATATTTCACATCTTCTCTAATCTCTCTTTCAGTCTTCCACATTTCTCCTTTTTTCTTCTCTTTCTTTTTCTTCTTCTCTTTTAGAAAAAAAGTCACTGATGATTAAGAAACTAACATTCAGTTCTGTTTTCTACTGAAGTGGCTAAAAAAACAAAACAAAAAAAAAACAACAAAACAAAACAAAAAAATAAAACATATGTTTCTCTTCTTCAACACATCAGTTTTAAATAAATGTGTGATTAACAGGCTTCTGCAGAACGTCCATATAGGATAGTGGACTACGAGGACCAGGACTAAAAATCACAGCACTAACATTTCTAAGATTTTTGATCAGTCTGGGCTTCCTAACTCCATGTAACAAAAACTGAAGAGGTTTCTTAGAATTGTTTACTTTAGGTAATGTCCAAAAATATATTATGCAATTTTTGCAATTTCTAAAACTGGTGCTTAAAACTAAATCAAAATTAAACATGATTGAACACATAAGACTTGATGTTTTGGGGCAAAACGAAAAGCTTTCTTCGAGTATTCAGAACTGTTTTCCAATGAAAGGGTGATGCAAATGCAAATGGGGCAGTTAATGGGCCAAATTCATGTGCACAGAAAACATCCTTACCCTGATCATTTCAGCCACATAGCTTTCGGGCCCCGTAAACTCTGTGGAGTCCTTCACCTTCACCAGGACGATGAAGAACAGGTAGTGCCACATGTTGTGCTCAACTTTGATGTGCTCCTCAAAAGTGACCGTCTTGTTATCAAACTTATCTCTCTCCAAGCCTGAGGAAAAGAAGAACACCCACCCCACAACCCAAATAAACATTACGCTTATTTCTTAGGAAAAGTGAAGCAACAAGCAGCCTTCTTGCAACATGACGTAATTGTTCTTGTGACCTAAATGAGGGTGACTGAGAAAATAGGAGGAAATGGGTCATGTGGAAATGGGCAGACGAAACGTCAGAGGTGAGAGTTGCTCAGAATGTGGCTTTTATTTTTTTTTTGTTCCTGCTAAATCCCAGAGATTCACTGAGATGCCTGCACTGTGTTTATAAATGAGAAAAAAAAACCTTAACATGTCCAAGACAAAGCAGAAAGTTTGACCACTTTACTCCAACGAAATGTCAATAAAAGTGAATGTATGTACAGTCTAAGGTGGTCAAGCCCCATATGGCAACAGGAAGAAACACTCCTCCTCCACAGCAGCACCTTCCGTGACTAACCACTCATTCTGGGAAGAGGAGGCGTTTTTTTTTTTTTTTTTTGTGTGTGTGTGTGTGGGGGGGGGGGGGTTTTTTTTTTTACAAATTACCGTAAATCTACTGAA